TCGGGGTAACGTGCGTTGCGTTGCGTTGCGTTGCGTTGCGATGCGTTGCGCTGCGCTGCGCTGCGCCGGGGGGGGGGCCAGCGCCAGCGAGTGGTTTCGTCAACAACAACAACAACCACAACAACAACAACAACAACAACAACAACAACAACAACAACAACAACAACAACAACAACAACAACAATAACAACAACAACTACATCAATAGCAATACTAATAACAACCACAACAACAGCAACATCAACATCAAACTTCATCGAGTAACGCGAATTTCCCAAACCCTCGATACCCGCCCTTTTCGTCTTCGATCGAACCCATTTTGGGGGGTATACCTTTCTTCCCTGCAGGCCGGGCCTCGGCAAGCGGCGGGGCGGCCGCGGACCGTCGGCCTGGCCAGCGGCAGCGCTGATCGGCGGGGCGGCCGCGGACCGTCGACCCGACCCCAAGAGGGACGGACAGGGGACCGACGACGGCGTCGACGACGACGGCAACGACGGCGACGGCGACGACGACGAGCGAAAGCGAGAGCGAGAGAGAATGACAGCAGAGCCACGAAGGACACGAAGTAGGCCACGAAGGGCGACAGCGGGGACACGAAGGGAATGCGTATGGGGCCACGAAGAGCGCGAACGAGCGTGGACCACGAAGTGCAGATGATGCGGGGCCACAGAAGGCAACGATGGGGCCACTGAGGGTAGCACCCGGGCCACGTAGGACAATGAGGGGGCCACAAACGGCAACAGCGGGGCCACGAAGGGCATGCACATGGGGCCATAACGGGCGCGAGCGAGCGGGGGCCACGAAGGGCATACGTATGTCGGGCCGCGGAGAGTACGGACGGGGCCACTGAGGGCAGTAACGGGGCCACGAAGGGCTGCGAGGGGCCCACGAAGGGCGACAGCGGGGCCACGAAGGGCATGCATATGGGGCCACCACGGGCGCGAACGAGCGGGGGCCACGAAGGGCATACATATATGGGGCCACGAAACAAAGCGAGAGGGCCACGAAGGGCTGCAACGGGGCCACGAAGGGCAGCGAGGGGGCCACGAAGGGCTGCAAAGGGGCCACGAAGGGCTGCAACGGGGCCACGAAGGACAGCGAGGGGGCCACGAAGGGCTGCAATGGGGCCACGAAACAAAGCGAGGGGGCCACGAAGGGCTGCAACGGGGCCACGAAGGACAACGAGGAGGCCACGAGGGGCTGCAACGGGGCCACGAAACAAAGCGAGGGGGCCACGAAGGGCTGCAACGGGGCCACGAAACAAAGCGAGGGGGCCACGAAGGGCTGCAACGGGGCCACGAAGGGCAGCGAGATCCCGATTCCTAGGTAATCTGAGAAGGAGTCCTAAGCGTGAGCGCGACTCCTGAGTGCCTGCGTGTCGGGAGCGCGGCGCTGGAGTAAATTGTGAGAAATTCCAACGCAAGGGCTCTAGGCCTCCCAGATGGGACCGGAGTAGATGGGGTCGAAGGATCGCGCCGCATCGCCGATGTATCGGCGATGCGACTCGATGCGGAGCCCGACTTTCTTCGCGCTGGCGTCTCCCATGCATCGCCGACATCGCTGGTGCATCGCAGATGTATCACCGATGCATCGGCGATACATCGGCGATGCATTGGCGATGCGGCGCGATCCTTCGACCCCATCTACTCGGACCCCATCTAGGAGGCCTCTAAGGGCGCTATTCTTCAGTAAATTGCAAGCAAGTCTCCAGCGAGAGCGCGACTCCAGAGCGCAGGAGGAGCGATTCCTGAATAAATCGTAAGGAAGTCCCAAGCGAGAGCGCGATTCTTGAATAACATGCGAGGAGGTCTCGGGCGGGAGCAGGGGTCCTGGCTAAATTGTGAGGAAGTCTCAGGCGGGAGCCGTTGTTGTTGTAACCCGGGGGCCAGGGGGCCAGTTTGAGCAGAAGACTTTCCTTGACAAAAAACAAGGTGCGAGCCCCGGGGGGGGGCACTTCAATTGAAAAAAAAATCAATGTGCACCGGTGAGGGGGGATCAACAATAATTATTCTTCAAGAATGAGAATTCAACAACAACAACAACAACAACAAAATGACAACGGCATCAATAACCACAACAACAACCGCAACCGCAACCACAACCAAAACCACAACAGCACGCAGAGCAAAAACAACAACAGTAACAACAACAACAACAACAACAACAACAATCATTTTACCCGAACGCTCAGTGTTCTCCCCAGTGCCAGGGTTTTCATGCGACGCCAGCCAATACCCCCACTTCGTGGGGGGGCAATGCAAGCTCTACCAAACATCCACACGACTCTCGGGAACCACCCACACCCAGCTTCCCGCCCTATGACGTCAGGACACTTCACTTCGTGGCGCGCGGACGATCGTGGATACTACACTGGCGTGGAGTACACACCCGCAGAGGTTGATCACTTGTTTGGGCCCCGCATGTGCCCCGCATCGTGCATTCGTTGCGCATGACATAGAGAGAGCAGACAGAGAGAGAGAGAGACCAAGACAGAGAGACAGAGAGAGAGAGAGAGAGAGAGCAAGACAGAGAGCCAGAGGAGAGAGAGATAGAAAGAGATTCGTCACATGTGTGAGGCAACCTGAGAAGATGTGGTACACGGTACACGTGAGATGGTACGCACTGCCAAGATAGTTGGTCACATTTTTGGGGCAATTTCCTGGGAAGGCGATTACACAAGTAGATGTGTTACGTATGATAGATATGAAGCAGAGAAAGAGCGAGAGACATAGAGAAGGAGAGAGAGGAGTCGGTCACATCTTTAGGGCAACTTCCTGAGGGATGTGGGAGGACACAAGAGAGAAGGTATCGTTGTCCCGATGGTTGTCTCGATGGTTGCCCCGATGGTTGTCCTGATGGTTATGGTTGTCCCGATCGTTTTCCCGATGCTTGTCCAAATGGTTGTCCCGATGGTTGTCCCGATGGTTGTCCCGATGGCTGTCCGTCTGCGATGCAATGTTGTCTGTTTCTGCTGTTATACAGTCCCAAGGATGACGCATGCATTGCTCATACTTTCTCCTGCTTTCGCAAACAGGTCCAGTCACACTATGAATATACACGAAGCATACTAAGGCGACTCGTCCTCTGCGACGTCGCGAATACGCTTGGGTACACGGCCGCCTGGCTGATGCAGGTGCGGGCCTGGCTGATACACGTGCGCTCCCAAATGGCCAATGATATTGCCGATACGCCTGCTGGCGGGAGAGCCGGGGCTCGCATACGGCAGTGCTAACGCGAGCACGTTGTGGACCTGCGGCGGCAAGGCCGGGTAATCGAGCATGTTCGGATACTCGTCGCTCTGACCAAAAGACCGCCATACGGGCAACCACCACCACTGGTCTTGACGCGGATACTTCATCTCTGGGCCGACCTCAGGGGATACGTTCCAAATGGCCATTTTCTGCGGGTCCGTACCCATGAAGGCCGCGTGATACGCAATGAATACGTCCAAGGTGGCGAGGGCCCTGTAGGAGAGGCCGGATACGATCTCCGCATGAATGGGAATACCGAGCTGACCGAGCAAATACCGCATACTGCTATACACCCACTGGCCCGGGTGGACGAAGAGGTTGGCTTTCCAGGCGACGATACCTCGCCCGGTGCATAGCGTGTCGAATACGTGCAGAAGGTAGCCAATGGGCTTCCCAAGCCTCTCATCCTGGAATACCGAGAAATTCCCGAATACCGCGTGCGCGTAGAAGAAGGCCTCGAAGTAAAGCCAATCCGGCTCGGGGATGCCCCCCATACTGTGCTGGTAGTCCGGGTCGTTGTTCGTCTTCGACTGCCTCGTGGACATACCGCTCGATACGGCGAGGCATACGCCCTTGACACCCTCCCATAGAATAGGGAAGAAGATACCGCACGCGAACCACCTCTCCGAGCCACACTGCTTGAGCCAGCGCCGCGCATACGCCTCGTCGTTGGGTGGCGTGTGCCAGCGCTCCATACTGTAGCGCACTTCATCATCGCTTGGGTAATACTCGCCCGTCACGGGGTCGAGCCGACCGGCCATCTGGGAAGCCATACGGAAGGCCGGCAATATGGAGGTGAATACGATCTCGCGATATACAGTAAGCGGCTTGAGCAGAAACCGCTACGTACAAACAGAAGCGAACCGCATACATGTGCCCAAATGCCAAAGTCCATACGACCGTACACGCAGAACACTCATGCGAGCGCCGTCGGCAAGACGAAGTCCGCCGCCGCACATGCGACCAGAGCAGGCATACTCACTTCATCTTTTCATTTGAATCCACAGGCCTCATAGACTTCCCCTGGGAACCCCCCAGACGCCCTCATAAACTTCCCCTGGGAATCGGGTCACAGCCACTAAGACAATCGGGCCCTGGGAACCCCCCAGATACCCAGAGAGGTCTGGCGGCTGGGGCCGAAGGCCTAAAGAGAATACATAACCACAGGGCCCTGGGAGGCCCTCCCAAGATCCCCAGATGGGTCTGGCGATTCCGTGGGAAAGCCCTCGGAGCACATATTACACGTGAGCCGTGTTGCACATGATACATATTGCACATGATACGTCTGCTAGCCATGGGACACATACACACCAGAGTTGGTCACATTTCTGGGGCACGTTTTGACACACATCCCCGTGTCATGTATGATACGTATAGCACTGAAACGTATGATAGACATGAGAGCAAAAGAGGCTCACGCAGGCTGAGGCCGAGGCTGAGGGTGAAGCTGAAGCTGGAGCAGGCTGAGGCTGGGACACGCTGAGCTGATGCAGGCTGAGGCTGAGACAGGCTGAGGCCGACGCTGAGGCAGGCTGGTGCTGAGGCTGAGGACGATACGTCACCGTCGCCGTCGCCGTCGCCGTCGCCGTCGCCGCCGTCACCCTCGCCGTCGCCGCCGCCGCCTCCGTCGCCGTTGCCATACCCATGATTCTCGATGCACGTGTATGTCATTACTGGTGGCTCTTCTTTCATACAGCTCTGCTTGACCCCAAAGTCTGCCACAATGCCCTATACAACTGAGCACCGCCCCTAGGGCTCAGCCACCAGCGCTTCCAACGTGGCTTTGGATACACGTCTGGTGATCCACCTTCCCTGCACTTTAATTCTTTGATACTCGCTGGCGCCGCGAGCGTGCGCTGCGGATACCAGCTCCTGGTACGTCCGTTTGCACGCACCGGTGCCTGAAGGCTGCAGCATACCTCGCTTCACGAGCAGAGCGAGCTTCTTCACCGTATGCGACTTCCCGTACTTGATACCCAGACCTTTGGCGGCCTTGACCAAGCCGCGGTACTGCTGCGAAGGCTGCCTCGCATACGTCTGCACCTTCTGTGTCAATACGCTGAGACAACTCGCAAGCACACGGAGCTCTGGAATACCGTCAGATTCTACCTTGGGACACAGACGGCGGCGACCGAGCTGATACGCCACCTCGCAAGGTCCGCCGTCTGATACGCCACCTCCCAAGGTCCGCAGCACAGCAAGCGATACTCCCACACAGCTGCGGATCGCCTCCAAAAGCTGAATTGCGTGACAACGCGTCGATACTAGCCCAGGCCGGACACGCGAAACGTTTGCCCGCACAGACTTGCTCGTGTCATACGCGTCAATGAGATACCAAACACCATGCAACGAATACCTGTTGATAGCCTGCCGCGTCTCGCAGAACAATACATACATGGTCGCGACGCTCACTTGAGACGTGCTGTTGAGAGCCTTCCTCATACGACCCAATGCTGTGGTCATTGTGTCGCAGGAAACCACGCCAAAATACGCGAGCTCCGCAGCAGCATGGCGTGCCCACTTCCGACACCGCCGCTTCAGAAACCACTGATGCAGCTCCTCGGTATACTCCGTAGGCGTGAAGCCCATGCAATACTCAACCATGTGCATAAAACACCTCATACAGTCCATGCTGTTATACTTACCGGCCATCTTCACCTTGTTCTTCTGCACGGCCACGGCCACGTAGTCCGGGATACTGCCCCCCATGGCCATGATGTCCGCGCTGGGGATACCGTCGCCACGGGAACGCTGAAGCCCCGATGCTAAGTGCGCCCACTTCTCCGCAAATGCGACAAGACGCCGTCGTATACGAACCCTGCGAAGTGCACGGATAAAGTGCAAGCCGGAATACTGAGTATGCAAGCCTTCTCGATGGGCTAAATACGAGCACCCTTTTTCTTTGCATACTGCGTCGCAGTGACGGACGAGTCCTAAACAGAAAGCATCGAAGTCGTGCACGAATACGCTCCACTGATCCAAAATGTAATCGCATACGACAGGTACTCCTGCCTGCCCTCTGGTAAAACGCAGTAATACGAAAGACAGCAAGAAGAGATACCCCGCGGACTCCATGCCAAGGCTATACGTGGCCAAGAATACCCCCCTCTTGAGCCAAAGTGCCTATGAGGGAGGTGATGATGATGGTGGTGGTGATGATGGTGAGGATGGTGGTAATGATGATGGTTTCGGGGAGTGCCCTCGGCGAGGCGCAGACTGTCTGTGAGGGCCCGAAAACGGCCAGTAACGGCCTGTGAAGTCCGCCGCCGCACATGCGACAAAGCCAGGCATACTGATATCACAGTTTTTGTTACCCCGAGAACTCATTGATATCCTATTTGTTTTTCTCTGGAAACCAACAATCTAGATGGTAGCTCTCATACACAGTGCCCATGATACGTATGCAGACCCGTGTAACACATGTCGCAGAGGCGTATACCAGACAAACAAAAGTTGCTCACATGTTTTGGCAATGGCTCACATACTATGGTTACACACATGCATATTGCAAATGATATGTATGTTGACCATGAGACAGAGAAGTTGGTCACATTTTTGGGGCAAATTGTGCTTCACATGCGGTGGATATGCATATTGCCCAAGATACGTATGGGAAACATGAGGCACAGAAGTTGATCAATGTTGGGGATTTTGCCTCACAGCCACACTGCTTCTTACGCAGGATATACGTTGCACATGATACGTATGAGGGACAGAAGACAAAAGTTGGTCACATTTTTGGGGGCAAGTGTTGCCTCACAGTCACACTGCTTCTTACGCAGGATACAAATTGCACATGATACGTGTGCATGCGAGACAGAAGACAAAAGTTGGTTTTATGTTTGGGGCAAATTTTGCCTCACAGCCACACTGCTTCTTACGAAAGTAGATATGAAACACGTACGCACAAGAGTTGGTCACATTTGTGGGGCAAGTTTTGCCACACATGCACGTGTTGTGCATGATATTTATTACACACGAGACGTATGATAGACATGACACAGAGACCAAAGTTGGTCACATTTTTGGGGCAAATTTTGGGCTGAGGCTGAGGCTGAGGCTGAGGCATAGGCTGGCTGAGGCTGAGGCAGGCTGAGGCTGAAGCAGGCTGAGGCTGAGGCTGAGGCAGGCTGGGGCTGAGGCTGAGGCAGGCTGAGGTTGTAGTAGAGGATACGTATGGCACATGAGGCGTAGGACAGACATGGAAGACGCACAACAATTGGTCACAGTTTTGGGTCAGATTTTGGGACACATGTTATTATATATGATACATCATGCACAAGAAGTAGACATGAAACACGTACACACAAGAGGTGGTCACATTTTTGAGGCCAGTTTTGCCACACATTCACATGTTATGTATGACACGTATTGCACACGAGACGTATGATAGACATGAGACAGAGACCAAAGTTGGTCACATTTTTGGGGCAAATTTTGGGCTGCACTGAGGCCGAGGCTGAAGCAGAGGCAGGCTGAGGCTGAGGCAGGCTGAGGGTAAGGCTGAGGCTGAGGCTGAGGCAGGGCGGGGCTGAGGCTGAGGCTGGGGCAGGCTGAGGCCGAGGCTGAGGCCGAGGCTAAGGCTGAGGCAGGCGGAGGCCGAAGCTGAGGCAGAGGGTGCAGATGAAGCAGGCTGGCTGAGGCCGAGGCTGAGGCTGGCGCAGGCTGAAGCTGAGGCAGGCTGAGGCCGACGCTGAAGCAGCTGATGCCGAAGCAAGCCGACGCTCCGTTACCGTCGGCGTCGCCGTCGCCGTCGCCGCCGTCGCCATCACCCTCGCCGTCGCCGTCTCCGTCGCCGTCTCCGTCACCGTCGACGTCGCCGTCGCCGTCGCCGTCGCCGTCGCCGTCGCCGTCGGCGGCAGCCCGCTATGCCATCCGGGACGTCGGAGCATACACCAACACACCAGAAGGTGACATGCTTCGGCCATTTTTTTTGCCACTCCCCGCTCTTCATCTGGCACTACTCTGGCATACGTGCCGCCCGGGACGTCGGAGCATACATGAAGAAACCGAGACACTACTGTGGAAAAGTAGCCTGGCATACCGTGCCCTCAAGCATCCCCGAAATCGTTGACGGCGCGGACCTCGCTCACCGCCTCCACGTCAATACCGTTGTGGCCCAACGAATGGCGAAGCTTCACACCGGCCTGGAACTCTTCAAGTGATACCTCGTGCTGCGATGGACCAGCTCCGTGAAAGCTGTTGCCGTGATACCTGAAGCAGGTGGTAGCCCGATGATGGCATTGAGCAACAAAGGACAACCCCCCGCAACTTTGCCAATTGGCCATCATACGCACTCGCGAAAGTTTAGTCTTGTCGAGCCAGTCATACAGCTGCTTCGCATACTTGTCCAGCTCCGCTGGCGTCCTCCCGGTCGCCTGCACTTGCTCCTCCGTGCCGCTCGAACGCAGGAGAGCAGCACCCTTCTTCTCATACTGCTTTTTCGGAGCCAGGCAATACTGCAAGGCCGGCAGGATATAGTCAATCTCTTTGTACAACTCCTCATACAGCTGCGGCTTCAATACCGCCTCGTTGTTCTTCTTGACCGCAGGATCGTTTTGATACTCGCAGAAGGTCTTCATCGCGTGAATGAAACGGTTGATGCCGACACCCCTCCGCTCCGGCTCCTTGCTGCACATCTCCGACATCCATACGGCCCCACTCTTCAGCGGCTCCTGCATCTGTGTCCATACCTGCTTGTCCGACAGCTTCGCGAACTTCGAAGGCCCGTATACGTTGAGCAACTGCGCGGGCGCCGTCTCGTATACCCTCAGCCACTCCCGCTTTTTCTGGTCCGTCGGCTTCTCCCCGGAACCAGACTGGGACGCGGGGCCAGACTGGGACGCGGTGCCAGACTGGGACGCCAGCGCGAAGTCTGGGCAACCGTCGAGCGCCATACGAAACCGGAGGGAATACACTTCCGAGTGGGCAGACTGGAACAGCCGTGCCAAATTTGAGAGTATATGGCTGCAGCTATCAACCGATACGTATAACACATAGTGCACACGGTGTGGTAGACTGGTGGTGATGATGATGATGATGGTGGCATGGACTTTGGGGGAGAGCCCTCGGCGAAGCGCAGACTGCGTGCGAGGGCCCGCAGACGGCCAATGACCGGCCCCAGAGAGCCTGTGATACCCCGAGGAAAGCCTGTGGTGGCCCCAAGACAGTGAAGTCCGCCGCCGCACATGCGACAAAGCCAGGCATACTGAACATTTTTTGATGCCCCCGAGACCTCATTGATGTCCTATTTGTTCTTCTATGGATATCCAAATTCGGAGTGTTAGATCTCATACACAGTGCACATGATATGCAGACCCGTCTCATACATATTGCAGAGGAGTATACGACACAAACCAAGTGTTAGTCACATTTTGGGGGCAACTTTTGGCTCACATGATATGGTTACATATTACATATTGCACAGGATACGTATGTTGACCATTAGCCAGAGCGGTTGGTCACATTGTGGGGGCAAATTGTGGCTCACATGCAATGAGCGCGTATGTGCATATTGCAACTGGTACGTATGTTAGCCGTTAGACAGAGAAGTTCATCACATTTTTGGGGCAAGGCTTCACATGCAGTGATAATAATATACATGAAAAAAAAAACATGACGCAGACAAATTGGTCACATTTTTGGGGCAACTCCTGCCTCACACACAGTTGGGTACAAATTTTGCCTCACATGCCGGTCGCTACGTATATGCATGTTGCAGATGTGGACAGACACAAAACCAAAAGTTGGTCACATTTTTGGGGCAAATTTTAGCTCATATGCTATGGAGTGGTTGCAATCATACATGTTTCGAATGATATCCCAGACATGGGAACAACATTGGGTCACATTTGTGGGCGCAGATTCTGACTCACATGCAATTGTTGAGAATACTACTCATTGCACATGATACTCATACAGTATTACACATGATGCGTATGGCAGACATGATACAGAGACACCGTGTGGTCACATTTTTGGGGCAAGTTGTCGCCGCCACGATGCTCGATGCAGATGATACATGCGGGCCCTGATTTTTTTGGTCGGCGTCCAGCTCCATACGACATTGATCACTCCGGCCGCCACGGAAATGCACGCAGTGGTTGCAGGAATCATACGCCCTGCCACGGTGCCATACCAAGAAACTGTCCGATACGGGAACCCCTGCGACCAGCTGCTCCCTCTTCTCCTGAAGGTAAAAGCCATACATCCTCGAGGAAAAGTTACCCTGCCGCCCGTCGTAATTCACCATGGCTGCCGGCTGCGGTGGATACAGCAATACATGAGAGTAGGACCGCTCAAACTCCGATGGCGGATGGCAGACCCGTGCTGCTCCTCCAGCTCCTTGGCGCTAGAAATACTGACCTTGCCAGTCACAACCCGATACTTGGCCCACCAAGTCTTGCACGCCTGGTGACTGGCATTGATACCCTTTGCCGCGAGCGCCTGATGCAAATAATACGCACTCTCGCAGTCGGCCAAGGGAGGCCGGGACAGCTCTGCGCCATACTGCTCGTGAAGGTCTTTCGCCGTCAAAGCCATGATCCAAGAACACAGGCGATACCTTGATCCGAGATGGCTACGGATATGAGCGTGAGAGGAAGGGGAAAAGCCTCCTGGGGCCGCTGGGGATCCTCTTGGGGAAGGGGGGAAGCCTCCTGGCGCCGCATGGGGTCCTCTTGAGAGGCTTTGGGGGGCTTCTTGAAAGCAAGGGG